GTACACATTGTTAGATGGTCTCTATAACATTTTTAACATAAATTATTCAAAATCCTATTCAGAAATGAATTCTATTATTTAAAAATATCACTAGTAGATAAAGCTATTTGACTATCAACGTATATTTCATAATACTTTAAATGTGCACCTCACTGGAAGATAACATAATATAGCTCAGAGATGAAAAGACTGCATTTTTAGCAAACGCCGCAATATTCGAAAAGAGTTATTTGTAAATTAATGACATTGCAATGAAAGTCAGTATAAAATAGCGTAAAACACAACCGGACTTCAATAAAATGAAATATCCAGGCACAGTAAAACCTTGATTTCGTAGTTACGATCACAATACTTAAATAATTGAAATCATTATCATATATAAAACGTACAGACTTCACAATCATCATGCTTTAAAAAACGAACTAAACATTTGATTTCAAAGTATTTTAAAGGTTGTTTATAAAGTGATGCTTATAGTTTTTCCATGTTTTTCCAGACTCAGTCTTGTAATCTCTAAGTTTTTTTATGTTAATGCTTCTATTCTTAGAATTTCCAATTTTTGAAAAACAGCAAACTACTTGCAGGAGGGAGTCAAGAGGAAAGGAGCTGAGAAATTGTAAAAAGGTTGCCAGCATGAAATTCAATAGAAAAAGGAACAAGGACAAGATGCAGAGGACTCTAGGGAACATGTCAACAATGTAATTCAGACATGCTGTCCCTTCTCATATTTTTCTTTAGGACTGCCTTATTCCAGGGCATACTTTTAGTTTTATTTACAATTTATCTGCCTAGGGACCAAGCTCTTGCTATTGGTAATACGAACCATTCATTTATTTATTTACCTAATGATTATTTATTGAAATTCTACCATGTTCCAGACTTCGAGGACATAGGTAAAAAAGCGAACATAGACATGGGCTTTTGATGAATTTTGCAAGGACTATATAACAGGAATTCCTTAAGTAGGTTAGGTAACTCGCGGTGCCTGAAAACACTGGTTGACATTGCGTTTCTCTGCACCCTCCAAAGCTCACTGTAGTCTAATCCTGATCACGAGGAAATTCTCCAAGGAATGAAAGTGTTAGTCTAAGATGTGCATCAAGGTTAAGCAATAAAACAAACTCATTTTTGATATCAACAGTTTTTCTCCAATAGTATTTCTCTGGGAAATATGAATAAATCGAGAAATATAGGTCTAAAACAAAATTGTACATAACCTGTAGGCCCCATAAAGGTAGACTTCTGTTCACCCAAAAGATATGAGACCTATGAAAAGAATAAGAAGATGTTAGTTTTAAAAATATGAAAAGTGCATTCATTTTTAAATTTCGATCAAAGTCGGAAGTATTTAAATCATGCTAACATAAAAAGACAGTGGGATATCAAAATTAGAATTAGATAACTTTATAGTGTTCCAATTTTCTTTTTGATAATACTCATTTCTGTTCCCGGGAAAACCCCTTTTGAATTTGTTTTCAGTAGCATGTTAATAATGAAAGAAAAGATAACAGGTCATTATTTTAGACCCTTTACTAGTCAAATTTCCCATTGAAAAGTCACTGTAGAGTCTTCTGTGAACTCTAAGGTTTTGTTAATTTTAAAGCCAATAATATTTTGGCAATACAAAACCAACAGTATAAATAATCTGAATAAAGTCAGTAACTCAGCTTATGGAGCACATTAATATTTCTGATGTGGACTTTTGTGAAATATTTGACATACCACCGAAAAACCTGTGACTGAGGTTAGCATAGAACATTATGCAGGAAGGTGTCACTGTTCTTACACATCTCTTAAAACTCATTTTATCTTTGATGTTGAACATTGTTTATAGTCTGCAGAGAACATCAAAACGCGTCTAGCGCCCAGTAGTTAAAATCCTCCACTTTTTATGCCCTACCCTCATCTACATTATCTGGTGTGCAGTTGATTCAAATGGGAGTGGTTCACAGAAATATACCCTATTCAGGAAAAAATGAAAATAGCTACATTGTGCTGCCCCCAAAATGCAAAAAGGATAAAACCCAATTATTCTTTATAGTTATGAAACATGAGACCCCCTCCGATAGAATATGAACTATTTTTAAATCTTTACGTCCTTTGCTTTTTGGTAATATGTTTAACCAAGAGCAATAAACTCTTTAAAGTTCTTGTTTTAAAAGGAACTATAAAAACTTCCTAGTATGTTAAAGCGCCCTGTAATTTCAGAATGTCACATCTACCTGAGTAATTCACATCTTCCATTGCTCCAAACCGAACCCGCGACCTTTCCCCCCAAAAAACCAAGGTGAGCAGGATACCCAAGCATAGCACGCGTCTGACAATATATTCAGAATGTATTTCAATTAGGACAAAACACTGGCCGTACTTTGTGTACGAAGCTAGACCGCCAGCTGCCAACCGAGAGGGTGGGCTTTGAGGTCTTTCCATCAGACACGCTGGCCGTGGCAGAGTGCCTTCCAGCCACAGCCATTCTCCCCGTCCCGGCACGGAGCCAAGTGCTGCGGGCCGCTCTGTAGCCCAAGGCTACATCTCCCAGACCTTGTGTCAAGGGATGAGGACGTACCTGGTGCTCGCGTGAGATCAAAGTACGGAATGCATATAAAAGCAATGCTTGTGTCATTGACATTTGTGGATCGGTAATTTCAAGAAGCCTGTGTTCTGCAGAGGATTCTTAAGGCTCAGGCCAACACACAGCCACAAAATAAAAGTCTCGAATATACGATATCGTAGTTACCATGTGCGAGAGAGAGAAAGAAAAGAGAGAGAGAGAGAGAAGAAAGAAAAGCAAGAAAAGCAAGAGGAAAAAAAAGAAAGAATCACCACACGAGGAAAAGATCTAGGAATCTGACTTCGAGTACCGATATTAGACTCCAGTGAACAAAAAATTCTTTAGAATTTTTGAGATTATGTGTCAAAGTCCTTGGTGCTGTTTATTTTAACCTTCACCGTGACCAGTGTACATGAAAGAGGAAAATGTCTGCCTGATGACACCCATTTCTATTGGTCAGCAAACAGCTGAAAGATATTGTCAAAATTTCATTTCTTCTCCTAACGGTTGGTACCTTAAAGAAGAAACCATCTTTGGAATGAATGTACATGTCAGCTGAACACGTGTGTTGCTCTATTTCGCACCGATTATAAATGCAAATCCAAATACCACAAAATATAAGCACATTCCTGTGTCTATCACTTGATGCTAAAAACTAATAATCACTTCAACATTTTAAGGTGGGGAAGGATGCATGAGTGTTGACACAGAGCGAAGAACTAAGCATCAGGAAACAGTGAGTCAACGCTGACGGCTCATCTCTCGATGAAATTCATAAACTACACCCTGGGTGTGTCACTTCCTTTGCTAATGCACATAAATCGTTGACGAGTTTGTCATTTGCACAATCTCATACATTAACAATAATTTGTTTTTCGCATCTTTCGGTTTCTCCATATTTGCGACAGTTTCAATCGGTTTTGACTCCTGAAAGGATTTAAAAATAAAGCAAAGCAGCACAAAATATCTGTAGCTTTATTATGTCAGAAGCTCTAATTAAATAAATCTTGCTGAATTAGCCTCATTATTTTAAAATAGAGCCTGTGCCCAGAAAGGCCACTTCTGTTTTTCATTAACCGACATTGCACTGACAATGGGAACTAAACAGAACACTGTATTCAGGATGGAGCCATAAGTTATTCTGGTTGTTTGTTAATTGCAGTAATCTGATTTTTCAAATGTATATCCTCTATAATTATGGCTGAGCATTCTTAGTAATATGGCATAGAAGGTAATTGTAGGAAACTTTGTTCCTCTTAACGTTTTCGAATAATATAATTTTACTCTGCTATCACCCGCCAACGCCTTTTACCCTTGAAAGGACTCTCTCGTGACTCGATTTATGATTTTCAGGTCTCTCTCATGTACATGTTATTTTTAAATCACCAAGTCTTAAAAAGAATTCCGGTACGTTTTTTGGCAAGGTGAACCATTCTCCATAACACGTAGGCAGAAGATGTGATAAATGCCATAAACGCTGACATCTCTGGTTGGTGGTCTTCCATCACCTAGAGGTCGCAATACGATCGATAATACTGTCGCACACGATTCCATTAATTTAGCAACATTCAGTGACCCACAGGGTCCTATGCTAAGTATGGGGGAGGGAGCGGGGGGAGGTGGATGAGCAACAGGAGGCGAAGTTACCAGGACAGCAAGGGCCCTTACAGGCCATGGGGGGCACGTCGGCACTCAGAGCAGACTTGTGATGAGGTCCGACACATTTTAAAGGAAGCCTGGCTGCTGCTATATGACAAGTGACCCACAGAGGAGCGGGGCGGAATTAGCAGGACTGGTCAGGAGGGTCACTGCGCTCGTCTGGGGGAGGGGATGTGGCTTGCGCAGGGTGGTCCCAGGCTGGTCCCACGCCATTTTCTCAGAGGTGTACCTAGACTGCAGAGCAGGGGACGAAACGAGAAGTCGAGCGTGACTCCGAGGCATGTGGGCAACAGCGTCCAGGTGGAGCTGCTGTCCATCAGCTCAAGAGCGCAAGGCCGTGGGCAGAGTAGGGTCGGAAGGACGTTTGACACCGTCATTCACTGATCTGTGCAAGAGCACAGAGAAGCTGACTGGACCGTGGCGAGCTTGCATGCCTGTTAGACATCTAGGTAGAGAGACCCACTATGCAGTTAGAATCGGGAGAGGAGATGGTGCTGGCTTCCTGGGGTCAGCGACTTGAACGGGTGTAAAAGGTATAAAAAGACAGCACGAAGGGCCTCGAGATGAAGGGCAAGTATGAAGAAGCGTCTGCTTTTCTACACGGAACGTGGGAATAATAAGGTTAAGTGTATGTCAGAGGAAATCACACACGTCAAACAGCTAGTCCGATGCCAGAAAAAGCAACAACTCCAAAACATAAGACCGTCGCACAGAACAAAAATTCGCTGATCGTAGATGTTTTTTTTTTTTTTTTTAAATCCCAGCTGTGTCTTCATTTATAGCAATAGGAACACAGACTAAGTATTCAATAAAGATACAGTGAGATATCCAGAATACTATTTCATCAAATAAACGATTTCATAAAGAATTATCACATAAATTATTGTACTTGTTTATCTTTAACTTGTCCCCGGTCTCTTTTATAAATAGGAATCATTTTCACGAAACAAGCTGAGGAGTAAGCAATTGATTGAAATGCATATTATGCCCACACTTTCCATTTTCCTTTGATCTTTTTTATTTTTTAAATTTTCTTAGGGCCAAGCTCCACACGAAAAAAATAATTGCACAGAGGTTAGCCATCAAATTTATTTTCTGCTTTGAAAATTATTTCAGTGTCATAGGACAGGGGCCCAAGGCGGTGATGATGATGAAATAAACATTATTCCTGACATTGGACACCTGGTCCCCTACCCTACTGCTTCTGGCCGAAAATAGAGACTAAAAAATTAAGTCCAGAAGCACATAGCAATGCAAGTGAATCAGAGCAACATGATAGTGAATGAAAAATAAGTTAAATCAGTAAGTCATGTAGCTACACAAGTTAATTCTGAGACGTGACATAGTCACACATCAAACATCGAGTATTTCTACTCAAGAGTAACAAACAGAATATATCAAAGAGAATATAGTATACAGTAGAATAAATCTTGTTTGGAATACAGTTAAATGAAGAACAGAAAGGTAGCGGGTGTTTTAAAAGACTGGCCCATATTTAACGATTACTTAGAGTATTTCGATCAACGATAAAAACTTTGTGAGTAGGTGTCCAGTGTTAGCTTTAGAGGAATAGATGAAGAAAATAAGAGATGTTTCAAAAGAGACTAAGGATTATATTCATGTATTTCCTCAAAGGCCGATCAATTTAATTGCAACGAAAACTTTCTGAAATGTCCTTGGAAAAAATCCTATGTAACATCCTTTAAAATAATACAAAAATAACAAATAAATAAAAAAAATTATAATTTAAACTAATCAAAAAATATCGAGGGTCAGACAAAAACGCCTTACCATTCATTTCCTTGTGAAGGGTTTTCTAGCAGCACTCGGATTATGTATAATAAGCAGCTTAATAATTTGAGAGAAAAATTGAACAGACGTATTCTTAGACCTTTAAACAAACAACAGAAATTTGATTTTCATTTGAACTTAGTTCACGAAAGACTAAAGAGAATTGTCAAGAATGTCAGCTTTAAACGCAGCACTTAAATCGTATTTAGAAACTACAGTACCCTAATTGTCTAAACTCTCTGAAGCTCTAGATAGCTGAATTTTAATGAGCTGAACATTGAAACAAAAAGCGAGATGGACAGAACGCACAAACTGCAAACAACAGCAAATAGTATATGTTGAGAGTAAGTCTACGCTTGAGCATTCGGAAGCCACATTAAGTCCTGTCCAGTCGAGACTGGTTCAAATACGCTTAGAAGTTTAAGCATTTTCTACATCCATGAATTTTGGCATAAATCTTGGCTAGCTGGAAGACCTAGCTGCTTACAAATTCACAGCTTAACTTATGAATCTTGTACCTTCAGAATACCTCGTAGATTTAATTATTATGATAATCATGTCTATAACTATACATTATACTTTTAATTAGTAATTATATAATTAGAAATCATAATAGCATAGTATATGCTGAGAACTATACACATACACACGTTTCTAAATTTGATCAGTTGAACCTTACTTTTCACTTTAGATCAAATACCAATAAACTCTTAAAATTTTCATGGGAATTAAGATTGCCAGATACCTTCAAAACTGTGTAGGTCACAGTTATACAGCCTTAACGATGAAGAACAATTCAGATTAAGCAAAACATGCTTAAAATCTGATGAATAGAAACATTACCTTTCCTGCAATTATCAGGTAGTAGCTGATTCATGCATTGTGAATACAATTATGAGAAAGGCCTTCCTATAATTATGACTTGACAAAATCTGGAAATGAAATGTCACTTTTTTTTTTTTTTGCTATACCATATGTGAATGTACTTGAGGTGACATTTCTTAACAGTAAAAGGTTAATGTTTAGTAATTGTGCAGTTTGTCCTAGGCTTTTCTATTACAATGCTAGGTACACGTTTTATGGGTTAGCTTCTTTATAAAGTTTCTTTAAATTATTAATGAAATTGCCCTGGTTTTATAGAATCTGTGTCCCCAGTGACTGCTTAGTCAAAGCTGGCTGCTGGTGAAATAGTCAAATTATGCATTTATTTTTTCTGGCCTGGAGAGATAGTATTAGCCTTAAAGTCAAGCAAACCTTCCATCCAGATGTCGAGGCCCCTTTAGCTATATCCTGGTGGGGCTTCCCTAGAAACTTTAAATAACCAGATTAGACAGGCATTATTAGCCTTGACCTTGAAGCTAACCTGCCCTTAAGTCTCTAACGAATGTGCCTTAAATGTTGAAATATTCCCCATAGTCAGTATTTGGATAATTGCTCACAGCTCAGGCTTTTCTGTTTGAATCCTACAGAGGCACAACATAATTAAGGACCACCCTAGGAAGATAAAGGGGTCAAAATTCAGAAAGAGCCAAGTCTACACCCACCTACTATAGACCTCTCTACTGTTTGTGGGCATTTGAAGCAATAATCACATGAAAAATTGTACACTGGCTCATTCAGATGGCTTTTAAAATTCATGGTATTTTTGGGAGGCAACAAGATTTCACTAACACTTCAGCCTTGAACAAGCTTAGGAAGTCTGTGACTGCCAATTTCACGTCCTCTTCAAATCTCCGTGTCTTCCAAATTCGTCTGATGGTCAGAATCATAAGGGCTGTTAAAATCTGAGCTTAGCCCTGTACTTCCTGGTTTAAGATCACCAGGGAAGACCACGAGCAAGATGGACATGTCAGGACACGCTAGATGTTTCTTCTTCTTGGGCACAGTTAGGAAACACTAAGCCTTTCCTCACAAAATCAGACAATTATTCTTCGTATGAGTCAGTCAGAATCACTAGAACCTTCTCATCATAAGATTAGGTGTCCCTCGCAGTTAAAATGTGGAGACCCCTTATCTAGATTATTTTCCTCAATGTTTCTACTGACCTAGATGGCCCACTCAGAAGCCTACTTATTGGTGTGGGATTTGGAGAGTTCAAAGTATGTGGAATTTGGAGAGTTAAAAGTATTCAAGAAGCCTTAACACCACCAGATGTAAAATCTATACTTCTCTAACATTTTGCTGCCTAGAAAACAAGATTATCAATTGTATTCTTTACATAAACAGTATGTTGAAGAAAGATAGCGTTTGAGGTAATTACACGTACAAACACATCGACAAGAATAAAACAAATGACTTACTTGATCTCTGGTTTTTAATAAAAAATAACTTTAGTCTCTCTTTAAATGTGTTTTCATTCATATAGAATTCAACTTGTACCCTGCAAACAGAAAATAAGAGCATAATTAATCTGAACACTAATATATAAGAAATTAAAAGTAAATTATTCGATTTAACGCATTGTATATTTGGAGTGAATCCTGGCCACCAAAAAAAAAAAAAATGTAAAACACTGAATTTTTTAGAAAGAAACAATTACTTTTATTTTTAAAGACATGATGAGTTAAAATATCATATGTAGTTAGCTCAGTATCTGTGTTAGCGGGGGTAATGAGTGGTGTACAGGATCCAAAACAGCAATAATGCAAAAGTCTTTAATATGTGTCTGTGAAATAATTTTGAATCAGTGTTTTTCCAATTTTGGCCCACTTCATAAGAATCAATGGGATTCTTGAAAACTTCAGTTTGAGCAACATTACTCCAGGGGGCTGTGTCAGAATGTCTTAATGGATTGGGACTGAAAGTCTCTTTTCGAGACGTTTTCACCTTGACTCTATTTGTGACACGTTATCAGACACTTTACCTTGGTATTTCTTTAGGCTCGTAGTAAGATGCGCATAGATCAGCAAAGGAATGGTAATGGCAAGTAGAAGATTAAAGTCACCATAGGTATAAATCAGACAAATCAATGAAGGCACCGAATGTTACGTATTTAATCTAATGTAAAATAATATCAACAGTCTAAAAAATAGTATTTATTTAATAAACGCATCTGCTTTCTCCCTAAATTCTAACAGACTGTCTTTCGTGTGATGGCATAATTGGTATTTTCAAAATATTGAGCGAAAAGAAAAATGTGTCCAGGGCACGGTGACTTGTTGATAATCATCATTTGAAGTTTCTTAATTAGTCTCAAATACATGTATTATAAATTAGGGTTACAAGAACAGCTAAGAAAACATTTGAATATTTATACAAACAACAAAGATTTAATTTCATTTTTCCTAACATCATGAAATTTTGATAATGCAATCCATATAAACTAGATAGTTTTATAGTTTTGTTTTATTTGGTAAGACTACACATGGGAGATAAAACCAGAGGAAAAAATGAGCATATAAAGATGCTCATGTATTAGGGAAATATTTCACTACTATATTCTATGCCGTATAGACAAGAAGATTCATGAATATTTTTAAAACTGTCTTTTATGCCATAAAAGCGAAAGGAATTTTGTTATCGATTGCAAACCAAGTTTTAACTGCTTTACCTGCTAAAAGGCTTGAAGGCTCTCTAACTTTACCTCTTATCCATAAAGAAAGGGTTTTTTTTGCATAAACTTTTTTTCATTCCTTTTCATCATTTTCTCATTCGCTGTCCATCTTTTGTTTTATATTCATCTTACATGTTATGTGAAACAAAAAAAGGACAGAAATGAGGTTTCTCTTGTTAATTTCTTCCAGCAGAATTACACGCACGTGTACACCCACCCCCCACGAACCCACACGCTCCCACATGCTGTGACACTGCACGCACACCCACGCAGACACAGAACTCGGCCAGTGTCCTTTATTAGGTCTGCGTCCCTTGTTTATCAAATGAGAAGGCAGTTCATTTTAAGTAAAGCGACTGTGCTACCGATATCAGGCTAAATTAGTTCAGATTTGCTATGGATACAAAAGCACATTTGAGAGGACATATGGCCATTACACAAGTGATTCAGCAAAGGCCACATAGACTTCCTTCCTAGAACTATCAAATTTATAAGAACACGAGTCCATTCCTCGGATAACAGCCGGAGTTCAGTTCTGAGGATATAATTGAGGTGCATTTTTTTTTTTTTAACTAAAATGAGATTGTCTATAGCCTTATGCAAAATAAGCATAAGAGATCAGGAAAGCATCCCATATGAGAAAAAGCTCAAGGAACTGAAAATGTTTAGTCTAAATTTAAAGCAATAGCAGCACCAGAACGGCTTTCTTTAAATACCGAAGTGGCCATGATTGTTCAAATGAGCTGACTCGTTAATGTGATGCTGTCGTATAGGACCAATCGCGGAAAATGAGAATTCTGAATGAGATTACCCAGCTTTGAAATGGCCATCACCATGAAGTGGAGAGAACTCCAGAGTATGTGCATGAGCCGGAGGCTGGATGACAGCTTGCAAACGATTGTTTATTTTTTCCCTGAGGGTAAAGACAGTTTTGCATGGTGTGAGGTCTCTCATTAAATGAATTCCAAACTCACTTCTAATTATACTACTACGCAAAGGAAAACAATTAATCTAGTGATCTCTCCATGTCGGTATTCTCTGATCGTGGGTATTAAAGTATGGACCGCTTTCTAAATGCTTTCGAAAGTTAAAGCTAAAACAAAGAAACAAAACAAAACAAAACAAAAAAAACAAGCAAAACACTTTTTTGATCCATGCCTTCTCTCAGGTACAGAAAAATGTCCTTAGGTTTATAATTTATAATATAGAGTGGCACTTTCTTTTATTTGATCTAATGGCAACTACCAGAATCAAGGCCGGTTAGTAGTATTAGTGTCATCTTTTGGGACCTTCTCCGGGGAGTTATGTAGACTTTAGCGTTTATCCTTTTCAACTTTGTGATTTATTTGGTTTTAAATATCCTCCTAGTATTTCCTTTCCCTCCCTTCGTTCCTCTCTTCCTCCTAACGTCCCTCCTCCCGTCTCACTTTATCTGAATTTACCTGCATCCAGCAGGGTGGCGTAGTGAATTCTTTCTGGACCTACAGTTCTGAGTAATACATTAGGGCAAATCTGCCCTCGTCGCTTCTTCAAGTGTCTTTTTTTTCACGTGTTTATCCTTCAGGTAAAATTGGGAATCATTTGGTCACACTTCCCCCAATATAATAGTAGAATTAGGATTATAGTTAATTTAAAAAAGTGATATTGCAATCATTACTAGGTGACATTTTCTCCTCTTGACATGTTTTCATTGTTTCGTGATGATATTCTTGTGTCGGTCAGAAACGTTTTCTTGTTTTATTTGGGTAGATCCTACACATGCTTTGGGATATTTATTTCTGGATGTTTTGTAATTTTGGTTGCTATTTTTAAAAGGGTTTCGTTTTCACGTTTAACTTTTGTGTTTGGTGTTTTAAAGAGCTATCATGAACTCCTTTATAGGTAGTGATTTTTTTTTCAGGTTTATTTCTTGGGGTTTTTCTAGGCAGACAGGCATGTCACCTGGACACCTTCTCCAGTGTTTCTACTTACTACATCGACTAGCAGTTTTTGGAGAAAAATATGAACTGTGGTGAGCATTCTTGTAAGAGAAGGCCTCGTGCTTGTGCAGTTAAATCGTTGACCCCAGAATTGCAATAAATATTTATGTTTTACTGAAAACCATATCAGGAGTGGATTGATGTCGATAGTAATCAAAAACCTGTCTTGAATCTGTCAGGTGGATGATACATTTTTGGGGAATGTTGACAGATTTGGTGAATTGTTTCAATCGTTTTTCTTTTATGCAATTATTTTTTTTTCAATTCTGGAACAAATTGTTTTTGTAATAGTAAACTATCGAGGCAGTTTACTGATGGATTCATTTTCCTATATGTTTAGGAATTTTTCTTCTATAGTCACAACTAAGATTGATGTGCTATCATCTTTAGATTATTCTAATATCTTTAAATACGAAGCGAAAAACTCTCCCGATGTTTCTATGCTCTGGAACAATTTCGAATGCTGTAGAGATTTTTTTGTGTGTGTGCGTCGCCATCATCACTTTGCCCTAACGGTATCAACTGATCTAATGCTGATATTAATTTGTTACTTTCTCCCCATTTTCCTCTCATTCTGTTGCTGTTTATTTGAATTTAGGGTAAAAATCATGCAATATCTTGTTAAAAGGCAATTTCCTTGCTTCCTTCTAAAAATTCTTAGTCGGTGCCTTTAAAGGAGGCCTTACCATTTTAACGACACAAAAATAACTCTGACCTGGGTCGTCGGTGCTTTGTTGCTTTGTCCAAGGGCTGATGCCCCGAACTCCACTCAGGATGCCCATGAACTTTTGTAGACACCGTTTTTGGAACTTCGAGTAGATATAGATCACTCTTCAAAGGAAAGATTCCTCTTCTGTGTCTATAACTGGTGCGGCTCCCTTCCCTCCTCCCTCTGATTCTTCAGTATTGGTCATGGGGTCCTTTTCATTACTGAACTCCTCTCGAACAAGGCCATACCTGCCCAGACGCCCTGGTCCCAGCAGGCAGGATCAGTGGGTGTGTTAGCTCTGCTCTCTCATCGTTTATGTGTTGGTGGTTTTCCTTGGGAAAATCTACATCCGAAGGGCAAGTCAGCATACGCAGCCCCCAGCACCCTCGCCATTCATAAGAACTTATCGTCTAGCATCGTTTCTGTTTCCTTGTATCGTGGCGTCCTCCTCGTCCCCTGCTTGGTGCTCTGATTCCAACGAGTAAGAAGAAAAAACGAAGCCCAAGTACCACTGCCGAGATCCCCTCTCCGTGCTCACCACGGCCAGGTTCTCAGTTGGCTTTACACTTGGGGGCCTTCCACCTTTCCGGATGGGCCACTTTACTCTGAGTGTACCCCTCTTTTCTCTGAAGTCATTATGCGTTGAATTCGTATGTCCTCCGAAAAGATATGTTGACGTCCTCACCCCCCGAGACCTCAAAATGGTGACCTTATTTGGGAATGGGGTCACTGCAGACATAGTTATTTAAATTAAGAGGCTGTCTTTTTGGAGCAGGATGAGTCTTGAATCCAATATGACTGGTGTCTTATAAGAAGACACAGAGAAAGACGCAGAAGGAAAATAGCAACAGAAGACAGAGGTAGAGACTGGGGTGGCACAGCCACAGTCCAAGGCGTGCCCGGGGCTCCCGAAAACGGGAGAGGCGAGGAAGGGGCCTCCCCTGTAGGCTTCAGAGAGGACAGAGCTCTGTGAACCACGTGATTCGCAACTTCTACACGTCTCAGTTTTGAGTCGATGCATTTCTGTTGTTTTCTGGCACCGAGTAACTGGTACTTTGGCCTGGCAGTCCTCAGAAACTACCAGAATCACTTCCTGATCGTGCAAAGGCATTCTATGAGAATACAGGCTCCACAAAGGCAGGGGCCATATTGAGTTTTGTCCACACTGTATCTTTAGCTTCTCACATGTTACTTGGGACTTATTAGGGATTCATTATTACTGGCCCAATGCCTGAATGAAGGAATTCTGGGGTCCCCGCCTCAGGAACTATCAGTTGATAGTATGCCGGGAAGGACAAAACCATGGTTTATAACAATTTCAGGATGAAAAGATTGGGTTTGCAGTGAGCTGAACTTTTGGAAGCCCTTATTCCAACTCGATCTACCTTGTGATTACTGATAATTCTCCAAAGGTTTTCATTTTTTTTTTCAATTTTATTCATTTAGATTTGTTTATTTGCACAATCTCCCCATGATTTAATGAATATTTAGGGGGGAATTACACTACTGTTAATTTAACTTTTACAAGATCGCTGTGACTTGGGTAAGGCAGCCATCAACTTTCTTTCACAGAAAAAGAAATTCAAATATTTTTAGTGACTCGCCCAAATTCATACAGCTAGTCCTGGAACAGAATCGAGACACAGGTCTTCGTATTACTTCTCGTCTCTTGCTTCTGCTTTATCAGGAGAGTTCTAGGTCATTTGTAAAATATTACAAAAGAGCACAGCAAATGCCAGACCCGCACAGGGTTGCCGAGAAGTGTTTGTTCAGCTCTGCCCTTTGATTATTGACTCTAAACCAGGTTGCTCTCCGTTCGCAAACGTTCACTCCTAACTTCTGGTAACTAAATTATTTAACGGAGCAACCATTCACATGAAGCCCTGGAAAGAAAATTAATAAGTAAGCCTACGATCAATTTTTCATCTTAAAAAAAATTTTGCTGCACCCGTGGCACGCTCAGGTGCTGCCAGCCTTCGCCACAGGAGCAGAAATCCCGGCATTTTAAGGACTTCGCAGGCCCCGTTCTGGCGTTTTCCAGCTGATTTTCGCCCATCTGATTCTTTTCGTTTTTACTCCAGCCTAACTTTCCCACCTTCTATATAAGGCTGACACCTTATAAGGAGGCAGAGGTGGAGTCTCGTGACTTTTGATGGCATTGTCTGCATTTTTCAAATAAGATCTAAAACAATGCCGCTTTTGGAAAGAGAGCCCAGCTTTCCACACAGCGTGCGCGCGCACACACACACACACACACACACACACACACGCAAACTCATCTCGCAGACACAAGCATCCGCACGCGGGCACCCAGGCATCGTGTCTAAATACACGCAGCGGTGGCGTGGCGGTGAGACCAGCTGGGGTGCTGATGGCTCATCAGTCTTCCCCCATTAACGCCGATCGCTCCCCAGTAAATGAAGTTACGTTCCCGTCACTCCCTGGTAATCACGGCTTGCAGGTAGCTGGAATGACTCTGCCGTTTCCATGGTGACGCGTCACGAGTCCACCCCGGAGAACTTCCGTATCCAGATTTCTCTCGGGTTAGATAGCTCATGTCCTCACGTGCCGTGGTCATTCGCAGAGCCGACGCTCTGCTCTGTCCTTCATTTGATTAAAAATAATTTAAGCACCCCCAATGTGACTGTAAGCACAGGAAGCCGAAAGATAAGGCTAGGATAAGTATAAAGGTACTTTTATTTTTGATGCTTAAATTGCAAAGGGACTTTGCCTCTTCAGACCCTGGGCCAAATGCATGAGTAGGAACCGGGCCTGGGTCCAGCCGTTAAAAAAAAGAAAAAAAGAAAATGCCAATAAGAGAACATTAATTCACTTTTCTGTTAAGTATATAATCAAGAGTAGCAAAAATACACAGCGTTCGGGCTGGTAATAAACTGTGTTTAGTAAGGATTCTGTCTGTTTACAATCACCGCCTCAAAAAAAAGGGAAAGGTCAGCTGCTTTAGGATGGTTTTCATTTATTTCTCTTACCTCAATGCTACTTTCTCATCATACGTACACGCACGCCATGCACACACACGCAGAATCTCTCAAATAAAACGCATGCACACACATGTGCATGTACATGCATAAGCACGCATGCATCCACGTCCACAGGCGTTCTGGAACTGTAAAGAACATGACACAGGCAGCGCAGCCCCACCGCAAACCTGCCGGCCTCCCAGTCCAAACCCAGAACAGTGACAACTGGCACGTCCTCCCTTCCGTCCTCTATACTTATAAGGTGACAGAAGATGCCACGCGGTCTCTGACTCAGCCTGGACTCTTGCACCAGTCATCGTGGAAAATCGAGAGCGCTCCCCGCAGCCCAGGGCTGCTAGGCCTGGTGCGGTTAGACCGCAGGGCCCAGTGTGGGGAGGAGCACTGCAGTTGGGTCGTGAGTAGTGAGGTCACGTTCAGCGGATGCTAGTTCTTAGCAGGCAACTGGTAGCTACGTGGGGACACGGCTCTTCAGTGAAAGGAACGCCTATTTGTTTCATTTATTATTATTATTTTTTGCACCAATAGCGTAAGGTTTTAACCCAAGCCTCCAAGCAGCCTCTTCCATTTTGCATCTGATTGTGGAAGGGGGCGAGGAGAAGTCACAGTTGGACAGTTTAGTAATGGGCACAGCTCTAAGAGACACATAGCACTTCTTCGGGACTTCTCTTAGTATGTAGTACTCAAGGGAAAATGACAGGCATGACTTTTAATAGGTAGACCATACTGGGTTGATGCATTTAAAGACAAGGTGACACAATTTGGAGGAAGAGAGGAAAATGGTTTCAAACAGAATTTCACTCAGTGGAATATTACAATAAGACTCATGGGTTTTCTAGAGAAACTGACTTTTTCCCCACAATAGTTTGTTTATATATTCATCTGTTCATTTCGTAGTGTGGTATAAAGAGGTAGAGTCTGGACTTATCAGAGCTGCAAACTTTTATTTTCCGTAAAATATAGATATTACTTCCATTAACAGGGCTGTTATGAAAATTAAGATACTTTAGATGTGAAACGCACAACTAAACATGGCAACTGATAACTACTTTCTGGTTCGTTGATAATAAAAAAAAAAAGTTCCTAGAATAAATATTTGTAATTGTGAAAACAGAAACTGTGAATCACGTACGTCCATTTTGTGAAATTGATCCCTTCAAGGAACATTTGCTTATGGAAAAAATAAGGGTGTTAGACAAGACATAGCTTCGCTGTTTGCTTCGGAAAATTCCTATAGATCAACATATGAGAGACAGAAGTCTGTTCACCCAGGCAAACACATCACCTATCTGCAGTAGCCTACTCATTGCAACTTACATTGCCTTTTTACTCGTTAAGACTTAAAAATGCTCAGTTTGCTGTGTCTGCCAAATCTAAATGATTCGTCACAAACTCGGACCACTTCAAACCTTTTCTCATACCCTCCTTCCACCACTTGAGCCCCAATTCCAAAGCCTGGTAAATACGTATCGCCTCTAACATCAGCTTGTGAAACGTCACAAATGCTTATGTGCTAACTTCTGGGACTTTAAATAAACTTAGCTTTGCTTCATTAACAAGTGTCTGGTGACATTTGAATTATTTAAACAACAGTAAAAGAGAATTATGCTGCACCTGCTGCTCTATAACTTTATTTTTACTCAAACGTAGAAGATGCGGGCCTAGATCATGTTTTAAACTGCATGGTATTCTTATATGTATTCCTGTGTATTAATAATCCACCACTTTTCATAAATCACTTATATATATAAACGAGTCTTTAGGTTTTGTTTGTTTACTACTTGAAAATAATAAAGAATAAGTCATTTTCCCAATAAATAAATAACAATACTTACTTAAATATATATATTTTTCACTAAATAATGTGAAATCTAAATGTCAAGTTATTTAAAAATCTGTGTATATGGTAAAGAATAGAGCAGTAATCTAAAATCTGGTTATCAGCTCACCGTTTTCATAGTCAAATAAGCCCCCTACATGGAAATTTCCCAAAACATCTTTCCCAAACGATCTGAGAAGATACACAATGATACAGTAAAAATGTGAAAATGTTATACCAGAGAAAAATTTGCTGTCAATTTTGTCAGAAAAAATTATCCCAAACTTAGGCAAAATTACTAGATGTTCTTTCAGTGGAATGCTGGTCTTAACGTTTTCTGTGCAATTTTATAATGATGAAGGATAAGGCATTTACACGCAGACTTGTGTCTAATAGACATGAAAAGAATTTCCACTCAATAAGAGAGATAACTCCAAAGGTTAAAGGTTATGGTTTCAGGTACTGTATTTTTTTTTTCTAATTACAAAACATACTGCAACAGATCATAAAATGTACTAGCATAGTTGTTAGACATTTTAGGAATTTCTTTGGTAAAATTTACTGACACAAGGCTTAATTTCAGTTGCGACATCATCATTGTAAGTACATATTTCTTATGATGGTCCCATGTGTTCAGTCTCATATATATACCTGGATATGGGAGGCATGGAAAAGAGGTACCCAGGCCCCCCCTCTTCAAATAATTGCTGGGTAGTTTCCATCTGTCCACTGCTTCAGGGTCTGCCTCGGGTGCAACGAGTCCCTTTGCCTGAGGTCACATTGTTCTCAGGACAGGCCACAACCCAAACTCCGTATCAGGATGTACGTCTAGAGGAACCAACCAGAGACCCTGGCGATTGTTTTATAGAGACCGTCTATGAGTTTAATGGTAACTTGATCAAAAAGCAAGCAACCGACTGTGATAAACTGGAACAGAGAGATAACAGCCAATCGCTTTATGACGAGAACAGATTTCAAAGCAATTCAGAATTTTGCTTCTGACAATATGGTAGCACAAATGTGCCATAAACCTTCCCCCAAAGATATACCTAAACGGTTAACTAAATTATTGTACACACACGCCACTTTAAACATGTATGGCTTAAGTAGTAGGAAAGCAAAGGAAATCCTTAGAAGCCAGAAAAGATAAGAAAATAAGAAATCAGAGAAGTAAGCTAACATTAAAGCTGCCGTTCGCTGTTCACCCTGGTGCTATCTGACAATTTTTGATGGTATAGAGTTTATATTTTGACAAACAGGAGACCAAAGAAATCCCCCCAAAAGATCCCCACAGAAACTCCCCCACAAAACCCCCCACAAAGGACCGGTGTTCCCGAAAGTTGACATCAGTGCAGAAACCAAGAAAAATTCCCTGCAGCGGGAGTGGTAAATGCACCTGGCCGTGGCTCTGACTGGCAACCGAAGGAAGAAAGAGACACACTGAGATCTGCCGTATTCATTTGCTAGGGCGGCCATAACCAAATACCACCGACCGGGTGGCTTAAAAAACAGAAATGTATTTTCTCAGTTCATCTTGCTTATCCTGTCGGCGTTGGACATCATTAGGCATTAGGCATAGCTGATCTCTTCCTCACCCCCGAATCGCATTTTTCACTTGACTTCCCAAAGTACTCCATTCTCGGTTTTCCCACTACCTTGCAGCTTACTCCTTCTAAGCATCCTCGGCTAGTTCACTCTCTTCTATTCTCAAGATGACGTCAGTCATCTTTTATAACTGTCATCCATCGACGTGCCCTAGACCACCAATCTTATATGTTCAGCCCCGTCCTCTTGCAAACTCATACATTCAACTACCTGCTCAGTTGTTTTACGTGGCGCTCTCTCGTGGGCATCTCTGACTCAGCACAGCCAAACCTAAACTCCTGATTTTCTTCCCTGAAATCTTCTTCCAATCTGAGCTGATTTCAAATCCCCCCTCTGTGGTTCAGATAAAAGTCTCGTAGTTCGGCCCGAATCCTCTTTCCCGTGAGCACGTATTAAATTATTCGCTAGAGTTCTTCGAGTAGTAAAAATCTTTCAGCAGAATAAGGAAGAAAATGGGAAAAAAAAAAAAAAAGCCTTATAATGAACATGCTCGCAAGAATGGCCTAAAGGCATTTAAACTTGCCTTCGGGTTAAAATTTATTTTCAAGACAAGATAGGGAAAAACAAAGCAAAACAAAACTTTAGATGATAAATACAAATATTGAGGCCAGATGGAAGCTCCATCCACGTATCGATCTACAAAAATCCCTGTGAAATATTTCACATCATTGAAGGCACTGGGATGTGCGGTCTTCTATTCTAAGGCATGACCTTTAATTAGACGTGACTGCAGAAACTGCCAGATTGGATCCCTAGTGTGAGCGATGTATAGGGAAGTGTTGGAAAGGAATTGACCACCCACTCCCTTCTTCCCATCACCTTATCACGTGTGAGCAAGAAGGTACTCTGATCTACCTGCCGACTGTCCCTGTCTCTCCTCTCCCTCCCCCTCCATTATTTCTAATTATGGTGTCAGAGTTTATAAAAATTCCGAATTATTTTAAGGGAAAATAAACGTTTGTCATGGTACCATTTCTTAAAGCCTCATTAAACCTCGAGCTCCGCTACAGAGATTTCAATCAGTTTTTACTGATTATCGTTTATCTGGTGCCTGGAGTATAGTGGA